ATGGCTAGTTAGAAAAATCTTCTCTTCGTGTGGTCGAATTACCCTTCAAAGAGCATTTTGTTCGTCTTGAAAAAAGTTAAGTCAATTGTGCATTATATTTTGCATACGTGGCAAAGACGTCACTCCCTAGGTTGGAGAGTTAAAGCCACACACCCAATCCACTTGAAAAACATCACCAACTATCTCACTCATGTCTTTCTCTCTAATACAACCCCACGTGCACAAATGACATCCACTTTTCCTTCTTTATCCGGATAAGCTTAAAAGTCAAAAGCGCATGGGAGATAATAAATATTAGATGGGTCCCACTATCCTCCCTTTATCCAATAGATGATACACATGCAAGCTGGGCACTCCACTAAAATGCTACTATTTTGTCCAACATGTGAAGGCAATTCCCTACCGCTACAGCTAGCTGAAACCAATCCCATCTGGAATAGCTCTCCCCAGGCATTCTTAACTGATGTTCTTATTTATCTACTACCCTCACACCTTTAAAAATGCAATGTGACAGAAAAGGTATCCACGCCCCTTGTAAGGAATTTTTAGTTCTTATTCGTGGCCGATGTGGGATTATGCGCAACCCACCAAATGCGTTGTGACAGAAAACGTATCGACGCCCATTAATTGCTCACCCCGAGCATGCTAAGAATTTCTCTCCCTAGCCACTTGTTCTTCATGTAACATTTTCTACTCTTTTTATCTATGAATATCATTTGATTCATCATCATCTTTAGTTTGTTAAATCGATAATCTTCATGTTTTTTTTATATTCATCATAGGCCAATCGTCAAATAGGTTCGACAGATTTACACTCGTTAGCATATTGACCCGTCTTTTCATACTTGAAGCAGGTCACCACTTCGTTGCATCTCCCAAATGTTTCTTCTTGCACAAATCACACCACTTTTTCCCACTTTCATTGCCTGACTTCTTATCAATGGGGCTAAACATGGAAAACTTTCTTTTCTTGTTGGATTTTGAAAATCCTTCACTATTCCTCTTTTCTTTAGTCCCCATATTTTCTAAACTCTTTTCTTTGATATGTATTTCTACATTCTTAGCCGCCAATATGGCTGCTTTCAAAGTATTGGCTAATTTCACTATTAGAGCATAGTCTGCTGGTAGTCGATTAGCATATTTTTCTATCTTGGCTAGTTTAGTAGGGACTATATATGCAACTAACTTCATATTCTCAGAGAAAGAGAAAACATACTCACCAATGATCTTCTTTCATTTCTTCAGATTTTGGAATTCATTATTTATTTTCAGGAAGTCTCTTTCTAAGCAGTAGTCCCTTTTCAACTGCTTCACAAAGTTTCCCCAAGACAAGTTCAACGCTTCTCCCTCTGGCATAGTCTGAGCCAACAATTTCCACCAACTCGACACTCTCGTGTTCAGTTGTCTGACTATGAAGACTGTATTTTGCATGTTGTTGTAGTCTCAACTCTCAAATACCATCTCTATTTCATAGATCCAATCCATCCCATTATTAGTTTTGGGTTCCCGGGAAGACTTGGTATCACGGATGCCATGAAGTCTTTATACTTGAATCCATTTCTGTTATTCTCCCCTTCTGGGTTGTTCCAACTAATTACTCTTTGCTCAGTTGGACAAAAGATCCAATTATAGTTTCTTTCTTCCGACTAATGCTCATTGATAACTGGTTCAAAAATTGGAGCAGTGAGTTCTACTCTATTATGTTGTAGAAGACGTCTTTTTCCTCCATTTAGTGGTCTAACATAGCCTCTATCATAGCTTGGAATCCCGCCATCGTGACATGTTCAGGTGTAGGTATAACTTCTGGTGCACATCCAGTTACACACTAAGGTTCAAGTTGTCGATTTTCCTTATCATTTCCCAGTATTCTACGTGTCCTCATCATGATGTTATGAACCACAAAACAATTATTCAGTGTATAGGAACATAAATATTTTATAACAAGGAAGGTTTTATTTATGTTATACACATAAGTTATCCTTAATACCCAAAAAGGTTTCATGTAATTTGTAAAAACCTGATCTTAGATATCAATCGAAGTCACTAGAATTGGTGTAGAATCCCAATTCAATGATTAATGCAAAACAACTATATTGAGTTAAGAACATAATTATCGAATCTTTAATGAACACTATATTGAACAATAGTTTAGTACATAAGATTTTTAATTACTCTCGGTTCTCTCTTTCTCTCTAAACTCAATATCAGTTTTATGGAATGACCACCCCTTTACACAGTTGAAAGCAATACTATATATGTAGACCTAATCGCAAATGCCCAACCCAAAACCCAACAAAAAGCCTCACTAAGCCCACCGAAATCACATGGTGATTTCGGTCCAAACACCACCGAGAACATGATGTTTTCGGTCCTAGATCGAGAATTCTTAAATTCAACAAAATTAAAGTATAAACCATAAATCATGTCCTAACGATATCCTACTTAGTTTGTATCTTTCTTTTCTTTTCAATCTTCTCTTTGTTCTTGACCTTCAACTTTTATCTTTGATTTTTTCACAATTTCAAGATGAGCATATGAATTTCTACATGAATGACTTCATCTTGAATAGTTGGACTTTCTTTAAAATTTGACTTTGAAAATACATTGGGTATAGTGGCTTCTTGTATATGTTCTTGACAATCAGCACTTTCAGCTTTGAAATACTTCAGAGATATATATAGAGATACTGATTCTTCTGGATCACTTCAGCAAGTTTATAGATAGCAGCAAATTGATTGAGGAGGCTTCTATGCAATTTGACACATAACTTCAAATACAACTTCACCTTGCTTCTGGGGTTGAAAGATTGTGTGTTGAAAAATAATCTTCACTTCTTGTTCCTTCGAATGAAATTCTTTATTGATCACAGATGCATATTGAAAGGTAACCATGACAATAAGTCTTTGTGGATCACAAAATCATAATGGCCCTTCTCACCACAGTTGCTCAAGGACCCAGCCTTGGCTAAGATGGAGACTACTCACACTATCTCTGTGAACACGGAGGAACGTATTGTGATTTGTTGAGTATCAGAGAAATATTCATGGCTATTTTTGATTTTAGCCCCACTACTAGAAAAAATGCCTTTTACGACGCGCAAAACACGACGCTCTTTGATTTATGTTACGCATTAGAGAGCGACCTTAAAAAAGTGTCATCTCTTCAAAAATTTTAAGGATTTAGGTCGCGCATTACTGAGTGCCCTTAAATTAGTGTCTCATGTAAAAATATTAAAAAAACGGAAGGCACTTGTGCGTCGTATGTGAATGTCGTTTTATATTTTCTTTTAAGAAACGCGCGTCTCGGTGGGAAAATGAAATCCCCAAAATTTTTAAACCCCACCTTCTTCTACCTCGTCTCCACCCCTCATCCACATCCACTACCTCCAATCCTCATTGCCTCTTCCAGCCTTAAACTATGGCGATGCACCTTTCTTCTCGAAGAATGCTAAATTTATGACCATCATCCGATTATGCGAGCCCAATGAATTGACGTAGACGAAGAAAATTATGGATCAATCGCTTCACATCATGTTTAAGGTTAAGGGTTTGAGATTTCTTCCAAATCGAACCTCACACTAAATGGTTCGATCTCCTCTCTTTTTAGATTGTTCCCTCTACTGATGCCTCCACCTTCTACCATCAATGTTGATCTTTGAATTAGCAAGAAGAAGCCCTAGGGCCTCCGCCTTCACCCACATTCTCACAGTCGATGGTGGAGCTAGAGAGAGAGTTTATGGTGTGTAAAATACAACATTCTTAAACCAGGGGATTCAAATAAATAGCATAACCCAAACCCTTTACGGTAATTGGGAGCCAATCAGGGCAAAACGCAACCCTCAGACCACTTTTGCTCTCAAGAAACCTACGGTACGTACAAATTTTCTTTTCTTCCTCTTCCTTTTCTTATCGGTATTCTTTCTCCTCCCTTCCTCTCCGATGGTCGCCATTGCTGCCTTCTTTGAACAGCCCTACCCTTCCCTTTTCCCTAACCTAGGAGCATCTGTCGACGACTTCTCTACTTCATCCGTTCAACAGATCGTCGATCACTGCCTCTACGATACCATCAACTGCTCCAGACCTATGAACAACATGTCTAAATCTCGCATCTAGATAGTGAAGATAAGGACATGTTGAATATTGAGAGGCAGTTTATGGGCGTGAAGCCCTAAATGTGATTGTGTGTGAAGGAATGGAATTAAGCATTCCTCCCTGTATGATACATTTGTTGCATTATCTGCTTGCCCCTTCCCCTGAACCATGGCCTTCTTCAATCCAAACCAGGTATGAACAGATATCTTTGCGTGTGTATGTGTAATTTGATTCTTTGTGTGTATGTGTAAATGGCCATTTTAACTTGTGTTCATATATACACAAGCAAATTATACATCTTATGCCTCAAAGGAGCTCTATGGAAATCTATTATAACTTGAAGTTGATTCAATTATTCCACTGTTTATGCAGCTTTCTTCAAACAGTTTGGCGAAATCCTGAGAATTAGGATAGCAACGAAAATTAGGATAGCTTTCTTCAAACAACTTTTTTAAAACATAGTCCAATTCACTCACCTGTTAACTTAAGTTTTTGTCAAATCTAATGAGGAGACTTGAACTTACTATCTATGAAAAATATGTACAGGTTGCAAACATTGTTGCTGAAACAATGCATAATTACCTTTTGTATGAGTATTTGTTGCAATTATAGCTCATCCCTCCAAAACGTGTTCATCCTAAATTGTATGTAGACATTTCAATATAATATTCCAGTCAAAGTTGTTGACTTGTACTTATGAACTTGTGTTTATGATTTCACCTGTTAACTAAAGTTTTTGTCAATTCTAATGAGGATAAATTTGTTGCTTTATTACACTATTACTGCTTATTTGATCATGGAAGTAGCAGGAACTTGCTAGTAATGATGAAGTCTTTTAGGTTTTTGGTTGTGATTCCACCTGAAAATGTAACATACTGGAAAGATTCCACGTGAATGAACCCAAATCTTATGCCAGCTGTCTTGCAATGCTTAATGGCCATTGTTCATCGTGCTTTTGAGACTGCATTATCATGGCTGGTGATTCTTTTTCTTATGAATTCCTTTATATTATGCATTTTTATTTTTATGTGTGGAATGTTAGGTGAATCTTGTAATGGATGCAGGAGGCTCAAATATGCGAGACAGGAGATGCTGCTGAGGTCAGAGAGTCAACTCTGGTTGTCCATGCTTGTTTTCTCATAAAGAGTTTGTCTGTTAGAGAAGAACACATTCGGGATGTATCTGTTAATCTGTTGTCTCAATTGAGATAGAGATTTCCACAGGTAAACTGTTGACCTGTATTACAAATTTATGAGCTTTTATATGCTATCTCCTGTAAAAAATAAATTACATTACCTATAATGGTAAAAAGAGTAAATGATTTGCCCTTTACTTTAAGTAACATTCTATTGGGTGCAGATTCTGTGGAAATCATCTTGTTTGGATTCTCTTTTGTTCTCTGTGAATGGTGATCCACCTTCATCTCTCGTGAATGATCCTGCTTCAGTAGCTTCTGTTCGCTCTTTGTACCAAAGCGTTGTCAAGGAGTGGATTGTTGATTCGCTATCCTATGCTCCATGCACCACCCAAGGTCTTCTTCAGGTTTGTGACGTTAATGACCATATTACCCTTATATTCTAGACTGAACAAGCCTTTTAAATGAGACTTAATGACCATATTACCCTTGTATTCCAAAAAAACAAATTTCACAATATTCATCAATTTTAAATTTAACTCGTTAAGTCATTCTGTCCAGTTTAAGTAAAAAAAGAAACAAGCCTGTAGTCTCAAAAGGTTCACTTTGTTGTAGTTTATTAAGTCTAACAAACTGACTGTGTCCAAACATAAACATTTCAGGAGCAACTTTGTAAAGCAAACACATGGCAAAAAGCACAGCCCACTACAGACATTGTCTCTCTTTTATCTGAAATAAAAATAGGAACAGGGAAAACGGATTGTTGGAAGGGTAAAAAAACTGCCAACATTCCTGCAGTAATGGCATCTGCAGCTGCTGCATCGGGTGGAAATTTGAAGTCAACAGAGGCGTTTAATATGAGGTTCTTAGCACTGCGTTGAATGAACATTGCAAATTCTAGATTGACGATGAACAATGGCCATTAAGCATTGCAAATTCTTAAATTTGATATTTTTGAAATCTCCAAGAACTTGATCTTTTCTGCTCACCAATTTTACTATTTAAAAAAAATTATTGCAGCCTGTTCACTTTGGATTTGTTGTTTCAAAGTATCTTCACGAATCTCTTAATTTGGGAGGAATCTCATGTATAAAATGCATAAGAGAAACGGGAACACAAGCCCTAAAACTAATACAGGTAATCAATTATCTATTTCAATATTTTTCTAATCATTGTTGATTGATTCCTTTTTGTAATAAATCATATTTGTTGATGCAGAGCTACCCAACCAAAATTCCCTTGGTAATCGAATAAATTGTGGTTGGTAATGAAGTTTTTGCATACCCTTGTCAAGTGCTTGGATAGTAGTGACTGGACCCATATGGAAGGTGCCTCAGATACTTAATTTTTGTTTTTCTTTGAACATTTGTTCTTTTTCACTGTTTCTTGATCTTATGCGGTGCTTTTATTTGTATAGTTATTTCAATCTTCACATGCCATGCATAATGAAGATGCCATGGAAGAATATATGTTCTTTGAACATTTGTTCTTTTTTACTGGGATGTGTTGACCAAGAAAGAAGCTAGGTATTTCAACAACGACAAAGAGTTAATGAAGTTGGTGGGCAACACTAGTGCAGGGCCTAATAATGTTTCTTGTACATAACAAAAGAAGAACAAAGAAAGATCTGATGATATGCTCATGGAGATGAAGATCGGTTCTGCTAAAAATAAGGTATGTTGAATTACTGATCATTGATTGATATTGGGGTTTGTTGGTCAAAGGAAGGTTTTTCTTTGGGCATTTTCTTCTAGATAGATGTTAGTACAGGGGTTTATGAATAAGGTTTCTTTGGTTTGGCCTCCTGACAGCAATTTACTTGGTGTTCTCTTGTTGATCATATGATGTACATCTCATCGTTTGCTTTTGGAGATAGCTAGTTTTCAATGAAACCCAAAGTTTGTAGGAAGATTAAGTTTCTTTACAAGGCCCATATTATATTTCCATGTTTTGGGAATCTTTAAAATTGTCTGCCTTGACGTCTTTGATCAATGAATCTTTCCTATTGAATGAATCTACAGCTGAATTTATTGATTTGGTGGTGTTCAGGGCTGCTGAAAGCTCTAGTGAGTCTGCAAATCCAGTAGAGTCAGAACTATATATTGGCAGGTAGCTAACCTTTCGGACACAGTAGAGTCAGAACTATATATTGTATTTACTTATTATAATATAAAAAAAATCTAGGTCCCAATGCTTTGCTGATTACCATGGATATGGTGGTTTAATTTAAAAGAATTTGAAAATGACCATTTTACCCTTATATCTATTTGGGAGGTAGCTAACCTTTTGGACGCACAAAATACTTCGCATTTATACTTTGGGTCTTAAACTTATCATTTCTTCTTTGTAAACGTGTTTATGAGGGATACTCATTTTCCAGTTTTGGGTGGGTTAATTTCTCATTTGTAGCTTCATTTAAAATTTTAATCACTCTGTGCTGTGTTATCATGTATGGATTTGTATTTATTTTGGGAATGCACTTGTAGAGACCATTGAGCTTACTTGGACAAATTTAGGGGTACCTTTAGATGGCATATCTGCTTTAACTTTGGTATTACCTCTCTCTCTCTCTCTATCTGCCTCTTTCTAGCTCTATACACTTTTAGAAATTCCACATGCTTGTGCTTATTGCTACTTCCATAACAAAGAACATTTGGATTTCTTTATTTTTACCAAAAATGCCACAGAAATAGCATAACACTTCCATTTCCTTTTTATAGTCCAATGACCTTATTTGAGCTACTTTTTTCTTTTCTCACACAATTTCCTTTTATTCCTTTCTGGCAGTTGTTTTGCGCATGATAAGCTTTCAGTATGACTACTATTCCTCAGATCATAATCCTTATGTCTCTCTTCATTATTGGATATGGGGTGAGACTTATTTTCACAACCTGCTCACTTATTCATACATAAATTCACTGTCTTATGTTGCCTGCATCATTTACCACATATAGGTCCTAAACTTCATGTGGCTCAAAATTTTCCTCATATGGCGTTACTTCCGATTTTGGGAACTGGTAAGTAAATGTAAATCCCCATTTTTTTTAAATACAATATAGTAAAGTAATTACATTACACACGACTATAACTTGGAAATCTTTTGGAAAAAATGGCTTGCTTCCTTGAACAAATGGCTTGTCAGGTAAAGGACAAACTAGAGAAGTGAGTTGAAGAGATGCTGGAGCCCTTAGAGAAGCTAAGGACAAACTAGAGAAGTGAGTTGAAGAGCTGACATGGAGATTAGACTTTGAAAAGCATTTGAGGGTATATTATTTTTTATATTTCTTGTATCTAATTAGTTTGTAAATTTTTGTAACAACTTCTATTAATTTGTTTTATCTTTCCATGGAACGATTATTTGTATGATATTAAATTTTATGTAATAGATTGTATTTTTTGTATATGATATTTTATTTTCTATTATGAGATATTAAACACAAATTTAATTTGAAAATTAGTAAATCTATAAATAATAATTTTTTTAACATTTAAAATTATGATACGCAAAAATGTGTGTCATCTTCATTTATGACATGACCTTTCTTGACAGGGTCTTTCTTGATATGCAATGTGTGTCATTAACATGCACGTCGTAAGGTTATGACACGCGAATACGTGTCGTCTTCCTTTATGACAGGGCCTTCCTTGATACGCATTGCGTGTCGTAATTGCGTGTCGTAAATGCGCGTTGTCTCTCTTTATGACATGGCCTTCCTTGACACGCATTTGCGCGTCGTCTGAGCGTTTTACGACGCGCAATGAGCGTCGTAAAAGGCCTTTTTTCTAGTAGTGGGCCCCTTCATATCCTTGATTAAAGATCTCAATACAATTTGTCAAGTTAACAAGCTAACTTGGCCCTTGGCGAGACGTTAATGGTTTTTGAATCTCAGCTAAGTGTACCATTCTAATGCTAATGAGAGTTGATTAGGAATTACTCACAAAACCATCCTGTGACAAAAATATCCGAAGACATATTTCCATAGTTTAGAATGACACGAGCTCATGGCCCTTCGGTAGGATATTTAACAATAATCGTGCCTTATGAGGTGCATCGCCTTAGTGCCAATAACCATTCCTTCCCTGCGAAGAATGTATCTAAAAATACATTTGAGTGTCCATAGTTTTGCAAAACAAAAGGATTGTCAAGACCCTAGGCGCGATGTTCAGTGATATCTATTTCCCAGTTGGGTAAATCGCATTGGTGCCAAGACATTTCTTAGGTAAAGATAACCGCAAGACCAATTTTTACAATCTGTACAGTTTCATACTTTCAATTCCCTAAATACAACAATTCTTAGAAGGAAACTGCCTAACTGATAATTTCTACGGTTTCATGCCTTCAATTATTTGTAAAAATACATTTGAGTCTCCATACTTTTGCATGACAAAAGGATTGTCAAGTCCCTAGGCGCAATGTTCAGCGATATCTATTTCCCGGTTGGGTGATCAGCTTGGTGCCAGGACATTTCGTAGGTAAAGATAATCGCAAGACCAATTTTGACAATCTGTACATTTTCATACTTTCAATTCCCCAAATACAACATTTCTTAGAAGGAAATTGCCTAACTGACAATTTGTACGATTTCATGCCTTCAATTCCTTGTGAAAGTAGTGTGAAATGAAATTGTGTCATTTCCTTTCAAAATCTCTCTTAGCACAGAAAATTCCAACACAATCTCCTTGAGTCTCTTCTTCTTTGAATTCGCATTTTAAGACAAATGAAAATTTTAAGATAAAAATAAAAAATAATAAAACAAACTTCGCACACAATAAAAATAATTAAGAATAAAAGTAAAATTAAAATACGCTAAAAAACAGCAAAAGTATTTTTGGATTTTTAATTTTTATGAAAAAGAAATAAAAACAGAAATACAATAAGCATATTTTTTTTGGATTTTTGGATTTTATGATTTTTTTTTGGTTTTAATTCTCCCCTTAAACTTTTGCATAGAGGAAAAATATGAACAAATTTAACAAAAACAAAAAAATAAAATACAAAAAGTACAAAACAAAAAAATTTTAGTCTTCAAAACGAATCATTTTAAGAAAACTCACAAGCACATCGAACCGAACTTTTCCAAAAGGTTTTGTAAACAAATCGGCCATATTATTATCAGTTTGGATTTGTTCCAAATTAATGAGTTGCCTCTCAAAACAGTCTCGTATAAAATGAACTTTAATATCTATGTGCTTTGTTTTACAATGTTGAACTAGATTTTTAACAATTTGAATAGCAGCATCATTATCAGAAAAGTTAAGTGTGTCAAGAGAATTCAAACCATAATCTTTGTCACACCCCGAAAACCAAAGGCGGAAACATTTCCGAGGTTGACTCCAAGTTGAGTATCAAATCCAGTGTACATAGTAAGCAAAGTAAACAACCATTACATTACATATCAAAGTTTACATTTGTTCAAAAGTAAAGTTGTACATTCGTAATACATACTATATATAGGCAAAGTAGAGACGAGTCTTCTGTATGCTCCGTCTTCTCCAAAAGATTCGCTAGGTACCTGTCTAATGTTGACCTGAGAATACAAGAAGTTTGAAAATCAGCATAAAGCTGGTGAGTTCATAAGATGTTTGCTTTGTGAAAATGTACGAGTTTCCTTTAGTTTACCGAAAAGCTGTTATCCAAGAAAATCCCATATTTTCTTAAAAGAGAAGGTTGGTTGATTGTTAGGTTACATGGTTGTGGTTGTTTAACTATGATCCCAGGAAAGTCCCATACTTTCCTGATTGTATATTACTAATTGTGAAAGATGTATAGTTGTCTAGTTTATTACTCCTTTTTAGTTATGTAATGTTTCCCTAGGAAAGTCCCGTACTTTCCTAAAAGTAATTTTAGTTATTGAATTTAGATATACTGATTTATTTCCTTTCGTACCTATTGTATTAACTAGGTATTTTGATATCCTAATAGTATTATAACGAACTATACTTAGATACATATCTTCATATTCGTGTTCTTATTCTTAAACATATTCTTGCACTTATTCGTGTACGCATTCGTAATCGTAGTCGTATTCGTTTCCCTATTACTACTCCTATTACTATTCGTATTCGTATTCGTATTCGCAGTTGTATTCGTAGTCGTATTCGTAGTCACATTCCTATCCCTAATCCTACTCCTAATACTATTCGTATTCGTATTCGTATTCGCAGTCGTATTCGTATTCGTTCTATTCCTAATTATAGTTTCGTATTCGTTCTATTCCTAGTTATAGTTTCGTATTCGTGTTCGTATTCGAATTAGTTATGATCGAAAACTAGTCTAAGTTATTCGTAGATTATGAAACATAGTTTAGATTAGAACATTTTATTAGGAAATCTATGATTAGTTTGAAAGCTAAATTCGTAATTCGAACTATTTGATAAACACAGTTATTGATATTAGGACATACGGAATGAAAACAATCCTGAAAACAATAAATTTGAGTACAAGATTTCCTTGTACTTTTGCTTGTATTCCCCCCTGAAAATAGTGAAAATAGTTGAAAAAGGGTAGGGGTATGAACTCATCGGCTGAAGAACGCGTCGGTTTTGATTCTAAACGTCGGTTCTGGGTTTGCAAACGCACAAGATTCCTATGGATTATCAAATGATACACATTTGCATCTAATTAGGACTTAAATTATTTGTTTGTTAGGGACATATGCTTCTAATCGCGAAAACGCTTCATTACAAGCGTTTGGAGGGACCCGGGTGGCGTTTAAGGACATGTAACGATGCGAGGGACTTGGGAAATGAGTTTACTCCCCAAGAGTAAACTTCTTAATAGAGTTTTCGGCCTAAACACCCACTCCCCATGAGTTTACGACCGTAAACTCATGGTGGGGTGATTTATGGTGCAATTTGGGTCACAATTGGATATGGACACTTGGAAATGCTTGGAATGATTTTACCAAAGGCTTGGAATGGATTAAAATCACCATCTGCAACACTTAAGGGAGTTTACGTCCTAAGCATGGGGTCTATGGCCGTAAACTCTCTTTTCTCCTTGAATAAGTGTTTTTAAGGTCTTAAAATTAATCACATGTGATTCTAAAAATTCCCACAAGCCTAGAAATGAGTTTTGGGCACCATTTGGCATGTTTTTGGGAGTTTACGGTCATGGAGTATGTTCTATGGTCGTAAACTCTCATATATGAGGTTTTGTTATGTTTAAAGCCCTTAAACTATTTTTGGTTGTAGCTATGATTTATTCCAAGGCTTTTGGTGGTGTTGGATGGCTTTCTAACACCTTAGAAGTGAGTTTACACCCAAGTTTAGGGAGTTTACGGCCCAAGCACATGCCTTGGCCATAAACTCACACAAACCCCTCAAAAATTATGTTTCAGGTGTCCAAATGCTAAAACCAATATTCTATAATTCATATCTAAGCCTTGATTGTGATTTGGAAGGGTTTAAGGTCATGAAAACCCCTTTTATATGAGTTTACGGCCAAAGCTTGTGCCTTGGCCATAAACTCCTTCAAATCCATCAAAAACCATGTTTGAAATGTTAGAAGTCCTTTTCATGAAGCCATTAAGCCATATCTAAAGTCCATTTGTGTTTAGGAAGGGTTTTAGGGCTTAAAAACCCCTTTTACATGAGTTTACGGCCCAAGGTTGCGCCTTGTCCGTAAACTCTTTCAAATGACTCAAAATCCAAGTTTAAAATGTTACAAGTCCAATTCATAAAGCCATCTAGCCATATCTAAGGTCCAATTGTGCTTAGGAAGGGTTTTTGTGCTCCAAAACCCATGATATATGAGTTTACGGCCTAGGATGGTTCGATGGCCGTAAACTCATGATTATGGTCATTTTTCATGCTTTGAACTCGAATTTGAAGGCTAAGGATGTTACATAACAAGCTAGGGGAAGTACCTCAAAGATTTGGAGCCTAAAATTGATGATTTGGACCTTTAAACTTGGATTTAGGAGAGAGGTTAGAGAGAGAGTAGAGAGAGGAAGAAAAATCTTCAAATGAGTGCTTAGATCACTTTAAATAGTGTCTATGTTTTGGACACGGTGGAATTCTACC